TTGCATTACCCTCTCATTTCAATCCCTGTGTCTATGATTGATGCTGAGAAGGCCGGTTCTAGTGACCTGGCCTCGTCCCATCAGAGGACTTGGGCTTATGTCCTCTCACTGTATCCTGAGTCATCCTTTGGTCAAAACAGTGACCCCTGCTATTTGAATTGGACATCACCCGGTCATCCCGGGGCCTGCCTCAGACTCCGGCCTGGCGTGGGACTGTGGGCAACCAGGGCATGGGCCATCACATCAATATAATTGCCAAGGCAATTTCTATTATTCAAGTAAATGAAGGCTGAGATTGATTTTTAGAAAGAAAAAATTGGCCTTAGCAGTGCTCATTGAACTAGAAATGGGGTTACGGGGCCACCATCTTGTGGAAATTAAATCAACTCAAATAGATGTAGAACAGGGTAAACATACTTCCTTTAAAAATCGTGCCAGCTGCATTTGTTTTTAGTCAGAAATGTGCACTTGGTCCACACGTCTACAGAACAGAGGGAAAATGCCCTGTTTATAGTTTTTTATTCAGCGTGGAAGACTGGGCATTGAATAAAATCGTGTCGTGGAACTGGTCATTGAAAGGCCAAAATCATGTTGAACTTGATGAACTCATTTCTGTTGACCACGATTTCAGATGAACTTCTCTCTAAGTTTGATAGTTTATTGTTCTCACCATATCCCACTTCTATAAAAGTTGTTTTGCCTTGAGCATTCCAAGTTTCCGATTTAAACTGCTCTACCAGAGAGCACGAGGCAAACACAGGAGAGTGTGGATCAGAAGTCTCGGTCTCTTGAAACTGGAATGCGGATGATTCATGAGTTTTGCATCAATTATTAAACAGCCATAGATGAAGATACACAGAGATGGATGGGGCAGTAACGTATTCGGGTTACACCTACCGGCTTAGCAGTGATAAATGGGTCAGGAAACCGGAAAGTTCAGAACAGGCATTAACTCGAGCTGCAGTGGCAAAGGCTCTGCAGGGAGGAGACAGTCGCGAGATAGAAACAACCTGCTCTGCAGACCAGCTGGCTGCGGGATTAAAATAAAGGCGGGGACTTGGCAAGAGGACCAGGGAATTTCAGCATCCTGCCGTGCCAACCACCCCTTCTCTTACAAGGTTCTTGAGGGCAACGTAGCACAAATAATGATAACACTTGGAAGACAAAAGGGCATTTTTATTAGCTGGGACCCTGCCTGATGTCCCCTAATGCAGAGTTCTAATAACACTGGCTTGGGTCACGCAGCTTAGACTTGAGCTTGAATTCTACTCAGAGAGAGAGAGAGACTGTGTCTGTGTGTGTGTCTCTGTGTGTCTGTGTCTGTCTGTGTCTGTGCTCTTTCTCCCATGCCCAGCTATTCCAAATCCCCAGACCTGGCCTTTGTGTTAGGTCCTGACTGGGTCACAGACCCCATTTCCCTGGACATGTGCTCTCTAGTGGGCATTGTTCCTTCGCTCTTTCTCCTTACAGGACACAATTTTTTGTTCTTACGTGTGATAAATACTCTGTGTGCACCTCTGTGGTTCCTCATGATTTAAAATGTGCTATAGCTTCCAAGCAACAATTGCTGTTAAGAGGGGTCTTGGGACAGTGCCTTAACCTGAAGGTGTTACTCTCATGGTAGAGGCTGTGGGTATTTTGGTAGGTGGGGCCCAGTGGTCTTCCCTAGCAATTTGAAACACTATGGACAGCATGCATATGTGGAAGACATTTAGCAAATGCAAAAAAATATATATATATTCCTTTATAAAGGCCGAGGGAATTGGTGGGTAAAAGTAGATGCAGCGGGCAGAGTGCACTTGCAGAAGCCTGAGTGCAGGAGAGCAGACGAGTTATTTTTGAAGATGGTGATTGAAGCGAGGTGGGGGGGGAGAAGAGTGCTGCACAGTTGAAATGACTTGGAGGCCAGGGACCGTTAAGCTGACGTCCTCCACAGGGCCTGGAAAAAATGCTTCACCGACTGGGGGGTCGATTCCTGTGCAGTGATGGGTAGTTTAAATAAGTGAGCAGATCCTTGCCTGAGAATTATTGATTTAAAAAAATATCCTACCTTTTTTTGAGCTGTGTGAACCTTAAAGGTAGGAGGGGAGGACATTTTCACAGAGTCTGGGCAAAAAGGTAGTGGTGAGAGAGAGGTTGGCTGCCTTGGAGTGACATTTTCTTAGAAACAGAGCCAGAGGCTGACCTTGGAAAGAGCTCCCTGACTCTTCTGATTCCCAACTTCACCAAAAGGAAATGCCCATGTTTGGTCTCAATGTGTGGACCCTAACCCCCT